ATATTCTTCTAGGATTTCTATTACCATCATTAATTATTCCATAGTCTACCATCATTAAATAATTTGACAAATACAATTAGTTTGGGCAGAAAAAGGGTAGAAGGATCGGCGGCGACAGTGTTGGAATTATGTCCAAAGTGGGCAGATTCCTTGTGCACATCGGTATTTGGCCCTGTCTGCTGAATCATTGAGTCACCGTGATTTACATCTTCCCACAATGCTCTGTCGGGTTAGAGTGTGGGGGGCCCTTGGGGTTGGGGATTCAACCTTTTGGGAGAAGAAAAACAGTGGCAATTTATATCCTACACCATGGCGCGCGTTGCACTATGCGCCCAGATGCAAAACGACGTCGTTTTAATTTTTTTTTTTTTTTGAAATTTCCAGCCCCAGTGAATGACAGTAGTTTTTTCTTTAAAAAAAAACCCGCTGTTCAAGAATGTACATAATGTTATACTAGAATACACATAATTGTATACATGAATGTACATAATTATAAAACAAAATATACATACTCTTTTTAAAAGATAATACACATAATCTAACATAATACATAATAAACATAAACTTTTAACATAATACACATCAACTATTAACATACTACACACAAATTTTCTGATTCGGATGTACATAATTGTATAAAAAGAATGTACATAATTGTATAAAAAATGTACATAACTGTATGAACCAATACACATAACTGTATGAACAAATACACATAACTGTGTGAACAAATACACATAATCCCAGCAACTTCCTACCGCGCCTCCCAAAACGACGTCGTTTAGGGAGGCGCACGACGCACAGTGCTATGTGCGCCGTGGTGTAGGGTATAACGATTGAAAAACAGTAGAAGGATGATTTTATTTATTTATTTATTTTAAAGGAGGATTTTACTTTTAAGGCTAAAGTGTCATCCCGCACCATGAACTATATCGGATTGTTCATGCCGCACCCTAAACTTTCATAACGTACATTTAGATCCACAAACTATTATTTTTTTTATTTTTTTTTCACCTATGACTTTTTAAAGGTTACCTACAAGTTGCAGGTAATAATATGCTGACATGGACTTTTTTTCTTTTTCTTTTTCTCTTTTAGCACCTTGGTCATTCTCTACGGCTCTGCGCTTGGACATTCATTTCCCCAGCATTTTCAATGAAGAAAACGATCAAGCTCAATCTTTCTCTGTTTAAAAAATAGCCAATTAAGTGGCCGTGGCTAGACGGAGAAACACCGGCGGCAACAAATGAAATTTCTTTATGATCAACTCGTCGGCGATTGCCGCCCTGTCTCTTGCAAGCTCCGAGGTAATATATATTACATTTCATGTCCCTCTCATCTCTTCCATTCCTCCATCATATATATATATATATATGTGGGGGGGGGGGGTTAACCTTTTCATTTTCATAAATATTATATTATATTTGAAAAATCAAAATTTTCGAACAGTTCTCCACCGTTCACTCACTCTCCGCTTTCCATACTTTATGCAGAGTCAGTAAATGAGCTTCAGCTTGCCTAGCTCTCAGCTCGCCTTAATTCCATTCCGGTGATGCAAGAACCGGACTTTCGAAGACCGCCGCGGATGGAGGCGCTGCTGGTTCAACGTTCGGAGCAACTTATTCGCTTCACCTTCACCCTTCAACTTAATATATATACACTTGTGATGGGTGTGTAGTATATAATGGTATTGCTGTAAGTGAAATTTTGTTCTCTGAATATGAATCCACTCTTACATATGCTTTGTTTCAAACTACATTTCTTATTCATACCCATAATATATATGTATGGGTATATATATTATCAGTTTCTCAGCCTCTCAATCTTCTTCGAGCGAGGCAAGCTTCATCCTTAATACATTGACCTTTTGGCAATCAATATATGCGAAGAGCAGGGGTACTCTCTGAGTAGCGAAGAGAAGAGGAAGGAGAGAAATTAAATGTTCATCTGCTAGGCGTGGTTGGGCTGGCGACAGAGTTGGGAGCAGCGGCGCCGCTATAAATGTAAATAGTAGTACATGTGGATGCCTAGGATTTTTTTATTTTTTTAATAGAAACAATAATGCAATTAAGGGCCATGCATAAAAATCCATTCATAAGCAAAAAAACTAAGAAACTAAGAAAGAGGAGTGATATAGGACTTCTGATTTTAGTTATTTATAATAAAATTTGGGGTTGATTTAAAAAAGAAGATCCACATAAGCTAATAACCTTTGCCATGTCATCATAGTAACGTAGAAACCTTTAAAAAGTTCTAGGTGAAATAAAAATAATAGTTTGTGGATCTAAATATATGTTATGAAAGTTCAGGGTGCGGCATGAACAATCCGATATAGTGCATGGTGCCGGATGACACTTTAGCCTACTTTTAATTATATATAGATATAGATATAGATATCGATTTTATTTTTGGTATGTACATAATGGAGTATATCTCATATGTTTATTCGACTCTAAATAAATTTCCATATTCGATGTCCTTAAAGATTTCAATAATAATAGGGAAAATGGCACTTTTTCCCCCTATGTTATATACTTATAGCACTTTTTCCCCCTCAATTATTTATGTAAGCACATTAGCCCCCTCAATTATTTTAAAAGTGGTGGTTTTCCCCCCTAATATATTAAATTGACATTTCTACCCTTAAAGTAAATATTTTATTTATTTTACTTCTCCAACAAATTATTGCGTATATGTAGCTATTACCACGGTTCGGTTCGAACTGAACCAGACACTATAGCAATCGAATTAAAACTTTTCAGTTATGATTCAGATCTAGAACCCAATATTTGGATTTCAATTTATTAAATTTAAGAATAAAAAAAATTGGATCATGAACCGGCGGTTCCGGATCCCGTTCGCGATTTTGAACTGCCTATATTTTAAAATTTTATTTTTTATTTTAAAATAGTTTAAATTCAACAATAAATGTATTTTATTTTTTCAGTTCGGAACATGAACCAGCCATTCCAGTTCGCGATTTTAATAAACTCTAAATAGCGCGTTTTGATTATAAATTGTAATTGGAATATTTTGGTTTGGTTACTATAGTATCTGGTTTGAACCAAATTATAGTAATAATTTATTGGAGAATAAAAATAAATGAAATATTTATTTTAAGGGTAAATATGTCCATTTAACATTTCAGGGGGAAAAAGAGCCACTTAAATAATTGAGGGGGAAAAAATGCTATAAGTATATAACATAGGGGGAAAAAGTGCCATTTTCCCATAATAATATAATCCAACTCAATAATAATAATAATAATTGTTGATATATAAAAAACTCAAATTAGACCAAATCTCACCTTTACTGCCCTCAAATCTTCGTTCTGGCATTTGTGTATTATCACTCAAAACTCTCCCATTTTTGTGCTGTTCTCTTGTCTCATCTCATACCTCCCAATTTTCAGGTAATTAATCTTTTTTGCTTCAATTCCCAGTTTCTGGATTAATTTCTTCTTTTCTGTTTGTTTGACAAAAATTAAACCCAGAAAAAAAGAAAAGAAAAAATCAATCTAAAATGATGCATGCAGAAGAAAGATGGAATGGAGCGTGCGTTTTGCAGGAATCAAATGTTTTGTTGTAATCATTGAAATGATGAAAGCTTCGTAGGTTTGTGTTCTCTGAGATCATCCATCGATCATCATCATGTATAATAGAGCTTCGCTGTTGAAATGTATTTATCAGATCAGGTACGGTGTTGCCGAGAAAGAAACTCCGGCCGGCCTGATTGATTCATATGAATCTTGAATTTCAACCATTTTCCATGCGTGAATCCATTGTTTTTGGATCTCCATTGGTTCTTGATTCATAATGATGCAAAAAAAAAATAGCTGCTTTTAATTTTCATGTCTTCCCTGCAGATTATAATGGGCGCATAGCAGCAGCTTTTACATGAAATTCAATAATCTGCAGCAAGAACTGTAAGTAACGAATTGAACCGGATTCTTGAAGGCCGCATCATATCATATAATATACAGTGTGTGAGAATTCTGAGGATTATTGAAGATGCCGAAGAAACGCTGGAAGCTATCCGTGAAGAGGTTTGCCACTCACATCGACCCGCAGAAGGAAGAAGAGCTGAAATGGATCAAAATAGGTAACAATTCAACTTCACAACAACATATGCATGCCTTTAACTGCAGATGTATGTTGAAGTTTTTTTTGGGGTGACCAGCTTAGGAAACCCGCAGTCACTACTAAAAATATGTAGTAGGTAAAATCGATCTTGTGACCTTAGCTAGTCGGCAAACCAGCCTAGATTGTTCATAACTGACTGGCTTAAACAAAGAAGTTGATCTCATTAGGATCAAATTTGTAAATTGTAACTTGTGGTTATCAAGTTAACAGCCAGACAAACTTGTCTAGGGTTGTCCTGAAGTTTTCATACCCCCATACCCCTACAACCCTTCTGACTGTGAGTAAATCCAGCCCTGGTGACTCTAGCTGGCAAAGGACTATAAGGAAGTAAACCTACCTAGCTAGATTACTAATAGCTGACCGTCTCAAATCAAATTAAAAGATAATATTCAAACTCGTGACCTTATAGTTACAAGTGTGATGTTTTGATGGTGTTTGTTTGTTGCAGAAATGGAGAACAAGGTGAAGAGGATGATAAAGCTGATAAAGAGCAATGTAAACCAAGGCAATCGCGATTCAAACCAGAAGAAGAGATACGAGCTGATTCAGCTGGTGGAGGATTTGAACAAGCAGTACCAGTTTCTCTACGACCAGTACGATAATCTGAGAGGGGAAGTGAGGAAACAATGCCGCAGAAAAGACGACGACGACGACGGCTCTTCTTCCGCTTCCAGTTTGGATTCCGAGTCATATTTCTCGCCGGAGGAGGCCAGCCGGGGCGGCTCATCCAGCGGCGACCTCCGGAGGAAGGCCAGCAACCGCAGCCTCAAGGCGGCTGCAGAAACAACGCCGCCGCCGCCTGACGCCGCCGAGAATGTCATCCTAAAGGACACATTAACATCCACCACGGAAGTAGTGATGAAGGAGACCGTAAACGTGGCTACCGTTTCCCGGCCGGGATCGCCGACGTCGGTGCCGGCAACGGAACAGTTCATCAAAGACCTGGGCGTTCAATCTGAAGTAGCGGAGAGCATGACGAAGAAGCTGAGGGAAGAATGCTCCACCTTAAAGGACAAATTGGCGGAGAAAGAAGAACAGATTTTGTCTGTCACCAAAACATACGAGCTACGAGCGAAGGAATTAGAGGATGAAGCTGCCAATTTGAAGCAGAGTCTGGAAACCTCCATGGCTCAAACCAGAACCCTAGAGGAAAAATTGGAGTCCAAATCAAACGATGTAAAGCAATTGGAAGAGAGTAAGCTACAAACATTGGCTCAGGCGAAAACTCTAGAGGATCAAGTTGCAGGTTTGAAGCACAAACTGGACACTTCATCTGCTCAGAAGAAAGATCTAGAGGAACAAGTTGAAGATTTGAAGCTCGAGCTGGAAACTTCATCCGCTCAGAAAAGTGACCTGGAAGAGAAAATGGAATTCAAATCATATCAAGTAAAACAGTTAGAACAGAACTTGGAAGAGTCGCGCGTAGACAAGGCTGAACTGGATTGCAGATTGCTCGAACTGAAACAATCGGAAGAAATCAATTCCATATTACAAGCCAAGATCGCAGAAATGGAAATAAGATACGAAGCAAAAGAAGACGAACTTTTAGATTTCATAAGAAAACATGAGGAAAACCAGAGGCGTTCAATTTCCAGGATTGATGAAATGACAAGAGAGGCAAACAATCTGGAACAACAACTGGAATCTCTACGTCTAGAGAAGATCAAATTGGACGAAAAACTCGAGACTGTAACCAAGGAAAAATCCGATCAAATCCAGGACTTATCAGAAAAAATGGAGATTCTGCAAGAGGAGCTACTCTCACTGGGAAACCAGAAATCAGAGCTGGAACAATCCCTTAAGAAGAAATCACGCCAAGTATCCGAATGCGAATTGGAGATAGAAGCACTGAAACAGAACATAACAAGCATGTTATCATCATCAGAAGAAGAAGATGACGAAAGCCTTGAAATGCAGGAAACTTCCATGGAAACAGAAGATAACAAAACCCCAACAGAGAAGGTGAGTAATCTCCAGAAAGAGCTAATAACCATAGAAACCGAGAAAAGCATCCTGCAACTAAAACTGGAGAAAGAGAGACAAGAATCCACCCAGGACCTCACAGAGATGGAGAAGAAGACAAGAGACTTAGAAACCAAAATCTCAGAGCAGCAAACCCTAATCAACAAACAACACCACACCATAAACAAACTAAACAGACAACACATACAAATGCAGGCCAAACACGAAGAAGCCAGCACCAATTTCCAGAACGCAGAACGCAAAATAGACGAAATGTTAGAAGAGCTACGCAAGAAATACGAAGACAGCCTGAGAATCCTAAGCAGAAGGATCCGAGTAGCCGAACAGCTCCACACAGAGAACAAGGAATGGTACCTCCAAACCCGAGAAAAATTCGAGCAAGAAACCAAAGAACTGAAACAACTCACAGAGAAACACGAAATCGGAGTCCAGAAGATCAAGGAAATGTCAGCAGTGGCCAACGACGCACTCACTTCACTCGACACCGTCTCTCTACGCTTCGAGAAATGCACATCCAACTTCATAAACCGAATCTCCAGCATGTCCTGCGAGCTCAACTTCGCCAAGGAATGGGTTTCCAGGAAACACAAAGCCATAGCGCACGTGAAGGGGGACCTGGACTGCTTGCTGGCCCAGCTGGACGAGAAAGAAGAAGAGATATGGCAGTACAGGGAGAAAGTGTGGAAGTCGGAGAACAAAGTGAGGGAGTTGGAGAAGATGATCAAACACAGCGATGACGCCATGTGTGATCTCAAAGAAGAGAAGAGGGAGGCCATTAGACAGCTTTGCGTGTGGATCGATTATCACCGGAGCCGCTGCGAATACTACAAGAAAAGGCTCGTCGAAGTTGGCTTCTTCAAAGGTCCATTAGGATTTTAAGAGTATATATATATATATATATATATATATATATATATATGCATGCATGGGTACGGTACGTGGTTTCATTTGCTTTTTTCATTTTTGATTATTTCAATTCTTCATCATTCTGTTAGTTCACAGTTTCTTTTTGCTTCTTTAAACAACACATACAAGACAATTAAGCTGAATAAGCAGATTTAGGCTCTTAATTGTCTCAGCAGATTATTTCTGATGTTGTAGTTGCATCATATCAAACATTATTTACTGATTTAATCAAATTCTTGTTTGCATTTTTACCAATTTTTATCACCACTTTCATTCTTATATATTACCTTTATTGCATCAGCAAAACTTAATCATATATCTTTCATTCTCATATATTACCTTTATTGCACCAGCAAAACTTAATCACATTTTTTTTTTTTTTGTGTAACCTTAGAAATTCGCAATCACTATCTAATTATGTGTAGGGGTAAACTGGTCTTAATTATAGCAATTTCATTTGTGCATTTTGGAGATAAAAGAGGTTTTTTCAGGAGGAAAAAAAATGATAGTTTTTTAACAAATGTGAAGGTAGGTTCTTAAGGGTTTTTATCGGTGCAAATATTAAGGTTTTCATGCGCCCACTTGTTAAGAAAATTGGAGAAAGAAATGTGCAAATGCCGCGTGAACTGCACTTCACCGCGTCCAGCTGGACGCATGCACTTGCTCTTTTCATGTTTTTTTTTTCCTCCTCATTTTCTCTTTTCTTGTTAATTGTTATCCCAGCAAAAATTCACAAAAAAAAAAAAAAATATCAAGTAATAAACTTTCTCTTATAATTTTAAAGTTCTACTACATAGACTCCTAAAGTTCTACTCCCTCATTTATACTCTCTAAGCTGGCAATCTAAGATTGATTATTTTCATCATGTGGATCCACAGAAAAATGTCTACATTAAAAGGAGGGAGTACAAGTTGAGAGTTTAAAATGGAAGTACACAAATATTTTTCATAATTTTAACCAACAAAATTGTCTAGCTGATAAGTTCAAATAAAAAAGACCAAGGAACCGTTTTTATGAGAGTCAGGTCAATAATTTGACGAATGTCGTTTGAATTGTTCCAAACATATGTGTTCTTTAATGTTGTATGAATTGAAGCTGAAGAAATTATTAATTATTATTCTTTTAACAGAAAAAAAAAATGAACATTCGTTACCAAATCACCGTACTATTAATAATAATATAATATTATAATTCTTGAAGTCACATCGATATATGCAAGTTATTTTAGGATATGTAATATTATAATCCGTACAGAATTCAAAGGGGCTGTTGACTTGATGAAATACATGTTGAAATTTGGAGCATCCCGAAATCTCTCGAAAACAATTATCCTAAATATTGTCATTGACAGTTGTCCTGTCATTACCAAAATGCCGCGTTTGTATTTTGTAAATTGTAACTAGCAAATCCAAGAAATTCAACCTTAACTAGGTAGTAGATGGATGGCGATGTTGCCGGCCGGAGCTATTAATCTTGAATCTTGAATTCGAAGAATAAAAATTAAAAGAATAATTATTAATTTTAGAATAAATTTCACTTTTAGTTCGTGACTCGTATACATGAACCACATTGAAGCTTTGATTATTAGAATTTTATAATATGTAATTTGTATTACATTTGGTCTTGCCGTTTAATTTTTCGACCAACTATCATGTGCTCCTTTAAGAAGGAACACTTCTGGAAGGAGCATTGCATTTGCTTCTTTCAATTCGAAAGGAGCATTTCTATAAAAGCACTGGATTTGCTTCTTCCGAGAGCTAGGGAGGAGCAATTCTGACAATAGTTGATCGAGAAATTAGACAGCATGACCAAATATGATACAAATTATATAGTCATGCACACACCTAATTAGAAACTTTTAGGGGTCGTTTGGTTCACGGAATGTCTGATTACCTTAGGGAATGTTAGATTGCTGGGAATGTTAGATTACTGGGACCTGTGTTTGGTGAAAATTGGGGTATGTAATATAATCATGTTTGGTTTAAGGTTATCTTTTATACACACTATAATATCCTTAACATATTTTCATATATTTTAATAAATTTAAAAATTAAAATAAATAAATAAGATAACGGTATCATATATAATTACATAATTTTAAAATATTAACTAAAATCTTGAACTAGAGAAACAAAATTATTTTATATGCTAACCTAACATAATAAAAATAAAAAATATATATAATTACAAAAATAATTATATATATATATATATATATATATATATATATATATATATATATATATATATATATATATATATATATATATATATAATAAACTAATATAACCAATGTTATCTTACATTACCTAACAGGGCGTTTAGTTGGAGGGATTTTAAATTCCCTTCCCACTTAATTCCCACCTAATTCCAAAGACCATTAAATTTCGTAGTTTGGTTAGAGGGAATTGCAATTCCCCCACTTTCATAGAATTAAAATCCCATGTCCCCCCGGGATTTTAATTCCTGGGAAAAAAAAGATAGTGATGAGTCAAAATTACCCCTTTATTTTTTAACCTAAAATTAATGTCTAACAACAATAATGGACATTTTTTACTTTATACTACTTATTCCCTTTCAATTCCCACGTATACCAAACATTGGAATTGAAATTCCTAGTAATTCTATTCCTGTCAACCAAACACTGGAATTTAAATTCCCACTTTATTCCCAGTAATTCAACTCCCATGGAATTACAATTCCTTTCCCACATAATTCCCCCCTCCAACCAAACGCCCTGTAAGATTTTGAAGGGAATCACATTCCCTTCAAAATCCTATGTGGAGGGAATGTGACATTCCTTGGGAATGTGACATTCCTTGGGAATGTTAGATTCCCTAAGATAATATGAACCAAACACCGGAATATGAGCTTTGGAATGTCATATTCTCTTGGTTATGTTATATAACCTGAACCAAACGCCCCCTTAATAATTAAGGACCAAATGTAATCATGTATAATAGTTAGGGTCCAAAAGTAAAATTTCCTCTTAATTTTAAAGTTGGTGATTTTTTTAGAATGTGAATGGAATTGAAAATTTTAATTGCATCTTATGCATGGTAAATTATTGTGTGGACTATGCATGCAATATACATTTTTAATATATTAAAAGTACATTATTTATGTACTGAATGTACATTATTTGATAATATATTAAAAATTATGTACTTTATGTACACAAATAATATATTTTTAGTATATTAGAAATGTATTTTTTATTTATGATTCACACAAATGTGTGGACGACGGTTTATAGAATAATGATTGCTTATAAATGCATTGTGCTCACTCCAAGACGGAGTCACCCCACGGCCCAGGGTAAGTCAATGTGGGCCAACTTGATCTGAGGAAGTTGGGTCACTAAAGATGACTACGGTCGGCTCGAGATCAATGGCGGAGTCACAATGGAGACAGTGGGGTCAGTTGTCCCTCCCCCTCCTCCCTCTTTTTGTGTGTGTGTGTGTGTGTGTGTGTGTGTTACTAAGTAGTTTAGTTGCTCGGTTGGTTGAACCTTGAATTTGACATTAAATGTCATGGGGTTGAACCCTATTTACAACAATTTTGACCCTATTGTTTTTGTGTGTGTATTTAGCTTCTTTTCTTTATTTAAACCCTTCTCACCCTTCAATAAATTAAATAAGTCTATATTTTTTTTTTGTCTGAATCATTTAGTTAATGTAGTCAACAAGTTTATAGTATCTTTAATCGTATTCAAATTAATTTAGAAAAATTTAAGTTGATCTAATTAAAAGGAAATTAAAATTAAAGTATTTATGAATATAATGTCTTTTCTATTCAAACTATTTTATCTAATCGATTATGTTTTATATTTTGCCATAAATATTTTTATAACATTTCAATGTGTTTTTAAAATTTCACCCTACGCAAGTATAGTTTTGGCTCCGACCTTAAATATCATGTAGTCTATCATAAATATTGTTTTATAATTTATAATGTATTTAAACCATATTAATAAAGGTGTTTGATATTTTATTATTGACAATTCTAAAATCATTTTGAGTATGTCCCTACTCACTCATTTTCTAGATCCGTCACTGCTCGAGATTGTTGTAACCACCTGCTTCATATGAGGGACGTTCAAATTGTGCAAAAGATTGTTCGAGTAGAACATGTATAACTAGCTATCTATTTGTCCCATTTAGACAATTTATTATCTCATTAGAACACTACTCTTATTATCCATTTGTCCCGTTTGGGGCAAGAACACTACTCTTATAATCTTTTAACAATAAACACAAAAAAAAAAAAAAAAAAAAAAAAAAACACAAAAAATTTGTGATTCTCTCACTCTTATTATCCATTTGTCCCATTTGAACCAAGAACACTACTCTTATAATATCTGAGCAATTAATACAAAAGATTTGTGATTCTCTTAACTCTCTTATCTTGTTCAAACATACTTCTTTCTTGTTCTTTACACTTCTTTTGTACTTTAGTTTAATTGGGTAAATTAACGTGAGCCTCCCAAGGTTAATTTTCTCCATAAGCATCATATTTTCATTTATCCTCTCAACAGTCAACACAATGCCTTTGATCTCCTCATTTTGGATCTTAATTTGTATCTCTACATGCACACTAAAAAAAATTACACTCAACTTGAATGTGCACTTAGTTAATAGTTATCAATGAATGTAGAGTTTTGGCACTTTTGGTCCCACGACTATGGTGTCACTAACAACTTTGATCCACGACTTTTAAAACTTGTAGAATTGGTCCACGGCTATGACTTTCTTAGCAAATTTGGTCCTTCCGGTACATTTTTCGTTCAATTTTTGACGGAACCCCATTTTAACATGGGTAATATTGTTTTTTTCATCTCACAAACTAATGACACAAATAAATAAATAAATAAATAAATAATTAATTAATTAATTAATTAATTTTGGCGTTTAGCGAGTAGGGTGAAACTGAAAGTGGAATTGGAATTGAGTGACTTTTAATTTCAATCACTG